TTTAGAGATAAATAAAAGCCTAAAAGAAGCAGCTACAAAGATCCCACTAATTCAGGAAAGGCAGAGAGCAGGAGCAGATCTAAAGAAGTTAGCAATTTCCTACCATAAACATTTTACTAAACTTCAGTAATCCTCCCCCCCCCTCCCCAACTTACTATAGGGCAGCATTACTCTTTTATAGATGTGTTTTGCAGTGAGCACTTTGTACCCGGACTTTATCAGGGTGGTAGCAAGAGCCTGGATGTGATTCTGAGCTTCCTGGTTCTCATAGATGTTTTGCTGCCTAGATAAGCTTGTTCGACTTTTGAGGTTTTTCTTACATTTTCTTGCAGTGTGCTAGGTAAGTTAGGGCCTTTTGTTTCAATCATTTTGTGTTATAAAGGATGAGCTCTCTCTAAAGCATTTCTGTAGTTGGGTGGCTTTACAGCCCTACCAGAAAAGTGTGAAATGACAAGACCTGGCTTATTATTATCCATGATCTGGCTGTAGAATGTTTTTTGTTGGAAGGGACCTTAAAGCTCATCCAGTCCCAACCCCCTGCCACGGGCAGGGACACCTTCCACTAGAGCAGGTTGCTCCAAGCCCCTGTGTCCAACCTGGCCTTGAACACTGCCAGGGATGGGGCAGCCACAGCTTCTCTGGGCACCCTGTGCCAGTGCCTCAGCACCCTCACAGGGAAGAGCTTCTGCCTAAGATCTTATCTTAATCTCCCCTCTGTCTCATTAAAGCCATTCCCCCTTGTCATGTCCCTACCTGCCCTTGTAAAAAATTCTGTTTTAAAATAGAATATTTTAAAATAGAATTTTAGAATAGAGTTTTATCTTTTCCTATAGAAAGGTAAGGGAATAAATATTTGGGTTTGCAATACAATTAGCTTTTAGAAACTAACTGGGATGGATCTGATATAAAGCATGTTTACATCAGAGAGTGGGATTTTTCCTGAAAGAGCTGGTCAAAAGAGTGCACTATACACTTTGTCTCTTCAGCAGAGAAAACACCCATTTAGTTTCTAAGAGGTGGGAAAGCAGTTGATCCTCTGCCTGGGTGCTTGCAGTGGGAGGCAGTTTCTGTTCTGTGCATCCTCATAACCTTACTGTGTGAAGCACGTGGGCTCCTGGCAGGTAGGAGTGATTAGTTGGAGCAAGCATGTGCTGCTTGGGAGCTGTTTTTAGCATCCAAAGTACAATTTCCAGGAAGATGTAGGATAAGTAGGTGGCAAACAGGACTCAGCCTAGTAAACAATGCTTAGCGTGAAGTGATGCTGCAGCACACTGATCCCTAAAGGAATTTTGTACTATAGAGCAAAGTGAGGGCATTAGAGATGGGCAAACAGCGTTTAGAGTGGCGAGTGACAACGCAAACTCTGGTCACAAAGAGCAGGCTGCTAGTTTAGTGTTACCAGCTGCACGCTCTCTGAGCACATATCCTGTGTTTCACTATTACTTTTATCACTTGGTTAGGAAAAAAAACCCCAACCAAAACTGAGAACCCTTTATTCTTTATTAGTGTGGTTGCTACTGATAGGCTAGTCCCTAATTAATGTGATGGTACTTTCCCATTCCTGTGCCGCTCTCCTTATTAGAAGTCCTTGGCAATATGAGAGACTAAGTATCTATTACTTAGTCATGAGGTATCTAGACCAGCTTGCTTCTGAAACTAAAGCCTGTGTACCCCAGGCATACTGTATTTCTGATTTGCATATGGAAAAGGCAGTTAAAAAGCTGATGCCCCCATATTGCTTGCGAGTCAAGTAGCAAAAGTAAATGATTTATCAAGCAAGGGTTACCACACCTGTGCCTTTTTGTCAGCACAGACAGAGGATGCCAAGTCAAGTGCTGCTTCTAATAGCTCAAACAGAAATTTAGATTCAAATACCCCCCCAGACAGGACAATGATGTGGTGAGCCGCTGGAGTGGCACAGCAGCCATGGATGGGGCGAGCAGAGGCAGTGTATGAAAACCCAAATCAGCTAAACCCACACAAAGCCAACAGCCCTTTTGGGGCTTTTGCTACTGAATCAGAACTGCTGACTTCAATCAGTTTATTTCCTGGTCTCTGCTGTCACGGAGTTGTCATCCTGTTTTGTTGACACAAGAAGGCAGCCTTTTTCTAAATAAAATGTTATATAAATTCTATATAATTCCTTTAAGGGATTATATGTGAAGCAATGTGACCTAAATCAGAACATGCTGCTAATGGAAATGTCTACTGCTAATTTTCATAATGCCCATTACGAAAGGCATGTACTGGTTTTCGGTTGTTTAAAAACAGCCCAGGACAGAATGATCCTTGCTCAAACCCTGCCATGTACATTTGTCTGTGATTTTATTCCAATGTTGTGTGAATGCCCATGTATGGGAAATGTGACTTCTGCTGAATAGCACTGTCACATCCCTGTGCACAGACTCAATTCTGCAGCATTTTAAGACTAATGATGATGATGTGTGACTAGTGCCTGTAGTCAAATGAGCTGCCAATTGGTAGAGAAAATCAGAGCCACCAAAAAAGCTGACCAACATGTTTCCTTATAGCTTGTACCTGGGCTCTAATTTTGAAAAAGCAGATGTTCAGATAAAGTCTTCATTTTTATTTTGCTGTTCCAGCAGTAAAGAGTTGCTTAACCCTTATATTTAAGCTTGACTTTCAGAAGCTCTGAGTGTTCACTGCTCCCTCCTGTCTAAGGGAGCTGTGTGGCCTGGCAGTTAGTGGTCCTCAGGACCCATTTCTTAGCCTGACTTTGAATGTACTATAAAACTCCTGATGGAAAGCAGCCATCCCAGCTGCTTTCAATAACACGTTCCTATGAGTTTCTATATTTTCATTTCGAAAATATCCTAAATGATTGTCCTATACACTAATGCCCTGCAAAAAGAGTACAAAAGCATGTCTTTGTGTAGAGGAACTCTAAGTAAATCCCAAATCATTGCAGTTAAGTGTTTTTACCTCACTTCTCTGATTTAAAAAACAGTCAGCTTCAGAGTTGTTTCATGAATAAGTAGTGAGTTTCACTGATAAATTATATATTTAGTATCAAGTGGGTTGTGGTGGTGTAATGATGTATAGAAGCACGGAGATGCAGCTGGAGTCAGAGACTGAAGTCAGTCTCCTTAGCCACTGCAGCATGTTTGACTTTAATTGAAAGCTGTGCTTGAGTATTGTTTTTCACTGTACAGCATTGTTATTCACTATACTGCATTACATAGAAGCACTTAAGGTAAGGCTAGAGCACTTTAAAATGATTTAAGTCATAAATAAAGAGGATAAAAGTTTACAGTCAACAAACTTATCTGGGAAACCTAGGCTGCAGGATGCAAATAAGTTTAAAATATTTTGGAGACTTAATACTGTTGTGTCTTACTACATAATCAATTTACCAAATAGGAGTTTTTCAAGCCTTCTGGAAAAGGTAAGTAGCATTCTCCAAAGGGTTTCAAGTTTCCTGAGCTATGAAGGAAAAGACCAAATGCTTAAGGACTATAACAGTATACCTTAACATTCCAAAAATCCTGATTTCAGTGTATTGCCGTGTATTCCTGTTGTTACCAAAACGACTGGAGAAATACAATTTAAAAGGGAAGACGCATGAAAACTTGTCATGTACATGAAACAAATAAAGGAAGAGGCCTGAAAAGTGGGGTGCAGCAGGCTGCATTTTGTTAAGGGGTGAAACAAAAATCAGAACCTGATGGGTTAAAACCCCACTCTGCGCTGCTGGTGTACTTTCTGTGACCCTATTTAATGCAGAGAAGGTTTGAGATTCGAGGTAGTTTAACCTGTGCTGTCGACAGAGCTATAAACTAAAGCCCCTAACAAATTGTACACAAAGAACAGAGAGCGAGAAAACACGTTGTGTTCACAGGCATCTGGTTGCAGCCCTGTGAACTGAAAATCTTTGGGAAGGAGTGACTTGTGTTTCGTTGACAGCATAGGTGCTGAAGCCATCACAACGAGGAGTCTGTCTTCATGCATATCCTGGACTATGACATGTGACAGCCATTAATCTGTACACTAATTATTCAGATGCATATAAGAACTTACAAGAGCTAAGAGCAGCACTCCCCCATTTGCTAATTATTTGAATTACTACTTTTTAGTCATCTCAACCAGCTCCAAACAAAATTACAAATATTTCTTGCTGTTAACCTTTAACAGAATTGTAACACAGTCGAGCAATCACTTCAAACTACAGTTGTCCTGAAGTACTAGTTCTGCTCACTTTTTTATACCTTCTCTCCCATGATATTAGGCACAGACTTAATTTTTTCAACATCTGGCTCAAATTAGCTGCTAACAAAACTGCCAACAACTATTTTCTTAATCGACCCTGGGAATTTGATACAGCTTGGAAAAAAGCACATTTAAACCTCGTCCTTCTCCTAAAGAAACACAAATGTTTACTTGAGCTTCTGATTTGACCATAGCAGGACTATGAATTCAGTTAACCCAGTTTATAGGCCTGCCTCAACTGGACTTTTTTTTCTCTTTGTGTAACGAAACAGATGTGTTCTCAATTACAAAATCTCCTGCTCGCTCAAAGCCCACCATGCAAATGGCCAACCAGGAATCTTGAGTCTGATTTTTTTTACATGGAAGTCATTGGAGCAGTCTCTCGTTGTATCTGCTGGGGGACTAAGGTGCACTGTTACCTGATGGGTCTCTCTGAGCTCCTTTTGCATATGCAATGAAATGCACTGGCTTAGAGGCTGGAGCAAAAGTCTTTGCAAAACCCAGTCCTTGGGGGGACAAAACCCTGTGCACTAGAAGCCAATCCCTTAGCAAGCAAAAGCGCTCGTTCCAGTTATGAAAGCAGCATTATTACTACATAAGCCCAAAAAAACACAACAGACAAAACAAACTGCAAGTGACAATTCGCTGTAGTTACTGAGACCATGTGGGTGAAGTGACAGCGGCAATGCAGCTTGGCTCCGCGGGGACACGTTAGAGTACACTGAAGAAGAAGAAGAGGCTGCAGGCATACAGAGAAGTTGAAAGCGGCCCACCTGAGTCTGTTGAGGGATATTTACAAAGCTTGGATCCCGTGGTCCAACACTGACGAATCGGTTTGCGGGGGAGGTGCTGGGTGTCGAGTAGGCTGTGAAGGGAAGGGACACATGCGTTGAGGAAGCGGCACTAGATTGCACACGAACAACACCAAAACACACTGTCTCAGAGCCACCTAAGCAGATGTTTAACATAGAAATGTGCAAACGTTTTAGAGAGCGAGAGTTTGGGTTTAGACACTGGAAAGGTTTGGTCTTAATGATGGGGGTATAAACACGGAGGGGACTGGGCTGCTCCTTGCCAGGCAGGATGGCAACGGCTGCGCTCAGGGAGAAGGGTGATGGGGTCCCCTGTGCTGTTCTCCATCCTGGAGGAGAACCACTGCAGGCCTTTCCATGATGGGATAGCCCAAGAGACTTCAGTACGTCCTAGTATTGCCTGACCGTTTGAATATCAGGTACCTCTGGTTTTAATGGAGCTTTGCACGGCAGTGAACTTATTATGAAGAGAATCAGCCTCTTATTTCATGCTAATCCAGCATTTTCTCTCTCCATATAAAGTTTTGGTTTTCATACTGCTGTGGTCTGCACTCTCTAAAATGTTCACTTGATGTGTTTGACAAACTAGGAAGATCCTTTCGGTAAAAAATTAATGGGTTGCAGTTTCACTGGGGTGGTAAGTGCAATCAGTCTGAAGGCTGGAGCTGCCTTTAAAAACTGGAGTGGCTCCCATAAATGTAAAGCTATTAAATGCAATGCAAGCCAAGAACCCAGATTACTTCCAAACTTGAAGTACTTTAATGATTTTATTGTTGCATTATATTCTCCACTGCAACTGTCCACAATGCCACGTACTTCCACATCCAAAAGCTTTCAATGCATTTTTAGGCTTCCTCTCATTTGAAAATCCCCCATGCAATCTTCTCCCTTGTTCGGTTTTTTGCATGTTCAGATCTAAATTCAAATAGCCTGAATAGACGCCTTAATACGAACAGTGATTCTGTCTATTTTAAATATATTTATGGGAATGCATTCTGCTGAATAAAATCCCCAGACAATCTAACTATCCAATGAAGAGACAAAAAACAATGTTAAAAGGAAAGTTACTTGCCAAATTCCAGTCAGGCTAAATATAATGTTCAGGCCCCAACGTTACAGAAAAATAAAGTGAGTTAAGAGTTGGAGAAGACACTGAGTTGTCTGTGTAGATGAAAGCCTGTTGCCTTTCTGAAGGCAAAAGTTTTTGGTGAAGAGGCATTACACTGGAGGAGCCTTTGGTTTAACATTGTACTAAATCAGACCAATGCTCTACCTTATCCACTGTCCTCTCTTTTACAGAGGCCATAAGCAGTTGAACAAGGGACAGTCAAAACAGGTCACGTATTTACTTCCTCATATTCTTTCCCACCCTCTGATAATTTTCAGCTCAAGGACTCCCTGTATTTAATGGCCTACAAGGGATTTCATACTGATGAATGCCCAATCCACCCTTGAGCTCAAGCAAATGTTCTGCATAAAGCCCTTTGGTGAGGAGTTTCCAAGCCTATGAGCACGGAGAAACACATCCTTCCTTTCCTTCTCTATACAAGTCTCACAAACGTCTCATGATGCCTCCTAATTCTTACAATTATATCAGACAGCTTCACCCCAGGAACTGCTTATCTTCATTTCAGTTTTGCTGACTTCTAAGAATGAATTCTTCCCAGTTGTTTCTGGTGAGGTGAGCTTTCCTCTCCTAAAAGCTAAGGCTTTGCTACTACTTGCAAAAATCATGCAAGGAACGCCTTCCCTTCACAAAGTTTTAAAGGAATTTTTAAGTGCACAAATTCCTCTTTCCAAGGTGATTTTGCAAATTGCAGTGCTGCTTGCACTGAGTATGAACAGGTACACTGGTTGTTATTCTTATCTGCAAATCAAGGCAAAAAGGAACTGAGCAGATTTGGTGAGATGTTCTCCTTGCCTTTTTACCATATTAAATTGATTAATAAGTCAAAGACGACACACACTTGCAAAGGGTGTATCTTTGTTTCTAGTGCCATGTGTTCAGATTCTTCTGTACTGTCTTACGGCGAGGTTTTCTTTTCAACTAAGTGATGAACCCAATGTTGTGCAAGACTAAAAATTCCTTCTGCAGGGGGGAAAATTAACTTAAAGCTCAAAAATCAAACATCTGTTCTTCTGGTCTACTTTTAAGGAAGCAGAATGAGTGGAGAGGCCCTCTAATCCCTTGGAGCAGGTAAGTTCCGCTCAGAAGGTAAGGAACTCAAGATCTTGTTTACAGTTCCCTCTTGGCAGATTCTTTTGCTGTGATACTTGGTAGAAAATCAAAGGGGAACCATCAGAACACTGTCTTAAATGGTTTCTCTGTTCAAACAAAAATTCTAAAGCATTTGAAAACTAATATGCATAAAAGTCCCCTCAACCCTTGCTGGGTGAATTATTATGTATACCTTCTGCAATGTTCCAAACTATGTTTAACTTCCTTTCTGAAAATACTCAGATGTCAGCTTGGTATTTCCTTAAGGTCATATAACTACACTGCTAGAGCCAAGAAGTGAAGAGTACCGAAACTACATATATGCAGAGCAGGCTTTACACTGGACTCTCCCAAGATGCTTGACTGTAAAATGTCACGAGATGTTTGTGGATTGTAAAGAGCCATTTTGGCTCAGAATATTAAGTTGACATAGAAGATGTATTAGCAGTGACTCCTGTTATGGTGAAGTTTGGTTCAGAAGAGGGAGCAGTACTAAGTATTGGTTAGACCATCATCAATGTAGCTTCTAACCATATCTTACTGTCTTCATCTAAATACCCTGGTTTGACATGGAGGTGGAATTCCTGGACGTCTTGCTTCTTCTGATCCCTATACTCTGTTCTAAGATTAGGATGAGGCAAACTGCTCCCAGTAGTTAAACTGGGTCATATTATGTTGCATGGACTAAACCTATGGTGGGATCCCTAAACTCCTTTTTAGCAAAGGGAAAAGCCAAAGCATGGAAAGGAACAGAAGCCAGGTCTCTTAGGCAGATCCCTCCTGATCTTTATCAGCTTTGCTCCATGGGAACTGCCTAGATCTGCACTAGTTTACAGTATACGATAGCTGGCCCACTGGGCTTGAATAGAAACATCTTCCTGCCCAGCCTAGTCTTTCTGCTACTGGAATTCACTAAGGATTGTTTGCAACATCATAGCCCATAGCCAAGGAAATGAATGTGATGCCACAAATTTGCTATGATGCTTCACTTCAGGAACAGGCAAAGCAGGAGCTGGCAGAGAAAGAACATTTGCTCACACAGACAGCTTTGATATTTAGCCAAAATGGCAAGAAATTGTATGAAAGACAAGACAAACAAACAGTTTTGGGAATGTCATGTATTTTAAAGTTGCCTGCAGCAGGAGAATGTTAATTTAAAATATACTTTCCTGAAATAATTTCTTAAATATAGGAGTGTGTCATTTATCACACAGTTCTGGACTGAAAGGATAGACTTTTGGTCAGTAAAGATGATTTGGGTAAGCGATAACCTAACGTACCACTCCTTTACAGACCAAGACGACAGGGACCTATGCTTGATATGAAGACCTGTACTCATTCACAAAGGACCAGGAGTCAGTTTAGTCATTGAGGAGTTGCAGTAAGAGAATTAACTGGAGGAACATGGTGCAATAGAGCAATTCCTACTGCAATGCATCCTGCAGCTGAGCATCTGAGAGGGAACTGCAAATTCTAACAAATTAAATGATACAGTCATCACCCTCTTTTTTATGGATGGCGAAAGAAGCGAACAGAAAGCTAAAATAGCTTGCCCAGGGGATGCTCAGTCAATGCATAGCAGAGAAAGGGAGAGAAATCCAATCTGATTATAGAATCATGGAATTACAGACTTGTTTAGGTGGAAAAGACCTTTAAGATCATCGAATCCAACTGTTAACCCAGCACTGCCAAGTCCCCCACTAAACCATGTCCCCAAGCACCACACCTACACGTCTTTCAAACGCCCCCAGGGATGGTGACTCCACCACTGCCCTGGGCAGCCTGTTCACTGCTTGACAACTCTTTTGGGGAAGAAATTTTCCCTCATCTCCATCTAAACCTCCCCTGGTGCAGCTTGAGGCCGTTTCCTCTTGTCCTGCCACTTGTTCCTTGGGAGCAGAGACCAGCCCCCTCCTGGCTCCATCCTCCTGTCAGGCAGTTGCAGAGAGCGATAAGGTCCCCCTGAGCCTTCTCTTCTCCACACTAAACCCCCCAGGTCCCTCAGCCCTTCCTCACCACACTTGTGCTCCAGGCCCTGCTCCAGCTCCGGTGCCCTTCTCTGGCCCCGCTCCAGCACCTCAATGTCTCTCTTGCAGTGAGGGGCCCAGACCTGAACACAGGGTTCAAGGTGTGGCCTCACCAATGTCTACCACAGGGGGACAGTCTCTGCCCTGGCCCTGCTGCCACACTGGTGCTGGTACAGGCCAGGATGCTGTTGGCCTTCCTGGCTGCCTGGGCACAAGCTGCTCATGTTCAGCCACTGCTGACCAACAGCCCCAGATTCTTTTTCCACAAGGCAGCTTCCCAGCCACTCTTCTCCAAGCCTGTAGCATTGCACGAGCATTGCATTGTGGTGACTCAAGTGCAGGACCCAGCACTGAGCCTTATGAATCCAGCACTACAGCCACAAGATCGTTCTTCTCATCCTGACACAAATGCTGTTTAACACAAAAGCTCCTTTGTGCAAAGGGACATTAACTGATAATGATCCTGCCCAAGGAGGGAAAATAACTAGGTTTCTCCCCATGCAGAGTTATGAACCTTAGGAAACAACATTTAGTTCTAAAAAGCTCTTTAAAAATCATGGTCTACAGAAGAGCAGTGTCTTAGACTCTGCATCAGAATGAGGGCCACGGATTCTAACACTCAGATTCAGTTATGATGGTGATAAAGTCCAACTGGCATGTAGCAGAGGTGGTGTTTTCTTTGGGCAATGAGATATTACACCCAGAAACTGTCAAGTTCAAGAAAATATTGTGCTGTGTTTGTTACGTGTTACAAACCAAACAAAATCAAGAAGAGATCTGAGATAAGATAATCTTGGGACTGCTTCTGATATCAAGGATGTGTTCTATTGAAATGGCTTTTTATAGAGGAAAAATGAACCCTTCCAAACCTCTTGAATCCCATCTCCATTGTGTCATCTCACCGAGGAAAATGCTGGCTTTCCAAAGGGATAGGATTCGCAGCTGAAATTTTCAACACCCAGAGCATGCCTGGCCACCCTGTAGCAGCAAATCCCTGGTGTGCATCTCCAGGGGCTCTTCCTTCCTTGGACAGCACTAATGTTCATGTTTTGGTTAATGTCACAGCTGGAGAGTTTCACTATTGCTCTGAGAATCATTAACCACCTTGTTGTGATTTCTAGCTCTCATTCCCAGGAGGCTGTGCTGTATTGAACAGCTGCTCCTGGCTCCTGCACCCCTCAGGAGGGCCATATTCCAATTTTTGGTAGGGCCGTAACTACGTTTTGTTTCTGCGGAGGGTTTTCTGCTTAGACCAAAAAAGGGAAGGAGAATGGAGCAAATGCCAACCCCTTTCACTCCACTTCCTTGGGGGGGGGCTTCATTCTCCTCCACACAGCTAAGGAGAGAGTCTGGCCAAAATCTAACATCACTCCTGCCTTTGTTGCATAAGTGACTTTCCAATATCCTAAAGCTCTGCAGGGCAGCCAGCCATAACCCAGCGACACTCCCAGAACTGGTGGACTCGAGCAGTTCGTAACCATGGAAAACACCTTTTTGTGTGGCTTTTATGAAACTCTGGTGAATCTGCACTTGCTATTTGATGGCTAATATTTAGTTAAGGAAAAAATAAACACTGATGAAAATGGAGGGTTGGTCCTGATTGACACACTAAATGGAGTCCAGTGGGCCCTTCTGGTAAACTCTCACTGAGAGGCTAGGAACTTCACTTTGTTTGACTCTTTATGTGGCCAGCCACATAAAGCTTTGGTGTATGTGTAATATTTTTTTCTTAGCAAATCTTTCCTATAATCTGCTTTTCTGTAAAATCTGGCCCAAATTAAATTATATGCTTCTTTACCACTCAAGTCACTATTATTGAATATGTACAGAACTATATGTTTAGACATCAGCGTAGCTAATTAACAAACAGTAATTATTTCCCTAATCTTTTGTTTAAATACCATTAACTGGCTGCTCTTGAGAAAAACCTCGATTCCCAATTAACGTGGCAGCTGTCTGCTGAGCGCTGAGCCACAGTGACCAACCCGAGCCGATGGGGGGTGGGCTGCGCGTCTGCGAACTGGTTTGATGCCAGCTCAGAATCAGTCCAGACACACATTTCAGGTTGTTTACAGCATCGCAGTACCATCAAAATTATCAAGATTACAGCTAAAATGATGTTGGGAATTTTTCGTTTCGACACCGCACACTGCCAGTAAACTGAGTCACAACTGTAATGACAAATATACATTGACCTAGTTTCATTTTTCCCGGTTCTGAAGACAAGGAAATAATAAGGCATTGCTGACTGCATTCAGTGATAACTATGACTAAACGTTAACCTTTTAGATTCCACCGCTGAATTTTTATTGATTGATAGGACTTAAAAGACGGTTTCTCCGGTCAGAAAGCGTAAAACCGTTCTGGTAGCACAAGTGTTGGTCTAAGGTCAGAAAGAGGAGTGGAGGGGAGGGAATGAATCAACAGCTCAACAAAAATCTGCTGATCAATTCTAGAAGTCCTGATTCTAGAAGATCATGTTCACAATCTTACCAGACTGTCTCATACTAAAACCCATTTTCATTTCAAAGTGAGCCAGAGCATCTTGCTGAGTCGGCAGTTGTGCACTATCACGGAGCAGAAGGCAGTGCAGAACTCTGAGAACCACCAGATTTTAAAAATGCCCCCTGGAACCTGTGCAAATCTCCTGAACAGTATCTGAAGCTTTAAAAATGTAGGCTTCTCATGATCTGAATAGCGAATACCTCCTTGCACATCAAGCAGTGGTTGCATATAGCATTTAAATAATAAGCTTGAAAAGCACACAAAGGGATTTGCTCTTTCGATTAGATTGATTTTTGTTTGTGGATGTTATTTGGACTCCCTTCACTGTGGAACCAGTCCCCTACAGTTGCCATTAAAGCACTGAAAGCTTCCCTTTTGTTTTTAAATGTCAGTTTGAGCACAGCTTCATTAAATCATTTCACAATTAACTCCCTGAACATCCAGACTTTTTTAAGGCGTCAAACCCAGCTGAACTGCATTTGTTTCCCAGAAGAGTGAGTCCAAAGTGGTATCCCCAAGTGTGTACCCAGGAATTTGTATATTTGACTTGTGGCTACACAAAATACATATGGGAGCCGTGTGGGTGGTGGAGAAAGGATTAAAGCTTTCTCCCTGGGCCTAAAAAATGCCATAGCTTCTTGCCCAAAATGCGGGGCTCGGGAACCAAGTCATAAGGGACAGATGTCTGGGTTAATCTAGGAAGACTTATTCCCAAAAGAACTGTAAATGAAGTAAACTCAGAAGAGTTGTTAGTTTAGCCCAGTATGTATAAGCAGCAATGTTTTTGAGAAGCTGACTTCCATGTAGCATCTATCCTCTAAAGACTGACTTGAGATACCAACTTGCCTCCTCATGACAGTGAAACACATCCCAAAGGTCCAAGGTCTGTGTCACAGCTAGCTACTGGCCTTGATTTCTGTCATCTGTGGTTATGTGAAATGGCAACAAAGTCAGAAATAAAACTGTAAGCTTAAGCTAACTCTTTTCTCATTAATACAGAAGCAGCTCAGAATTTTGCCTGTCTTACACAGAGCAGAGAGCTCTCCTATTTCCCAACAACTAGTCAGTCCTCATCTCTTAACAGCTGACAGAAGGTGATGGCAGCACGTTGAGTGCTGCAGTTAGCCCTTGGTTCCCGCTGTGTCTATACTTACTTGGAGAAGTGGGAGAGGTGGCCCCTCCTTCTGTTGATGTAGTTGGAGGTTTTGTGTCTGGCACTGGCAGAGGCACAGGCCTAGCCATTGGTGGCGGAGGTGGTGGTGGCAACATTGGGGTAGGAAGGAATGGATTGTGCACCTTGCCTTGGCTGCTACCATTGGGCTGCCGAAAAACAAGCAAACAGACAAAAATTATACTAAAAATCAGCTGTTAGGAACCTCCAGTAATAACAACCTAGTTGAAAGCTATGTGCAATACATGTACAATTACTTGAGAGGTGGCAAAGGAAGTGCTGGGTCAAATTCTCCAGCTTTTTCAAGGAACTTTGTCTCAAGCCCTGTGAAACTATGAAAATTCTCACTTTTGAGCATTTGCCCTATTAGCAGCTGGTGTGAACTGCCCTGGATTAAATTCTGCTACTCTTTACATTTCCTGCAGCCACTAAGTCGTTTTCAGTGAGAGTTGAAGCAGTATTTTTTACCCCTTAAATCCCCCAAGTTTTGTGTCTCTCTTATATCCTTAGGATATCAGTGCCTACGACTCAAGTGCAAATTTCTTAAAGATACTGCTCATTAGGAGGAAAACCAAGCATTTTTGGTGTTCTTAAAAGTCATGCTGATATCTTATTACAGGAAAATGAATGAATATATATTAAAGTAACTGCTCTCCCACATCCCTTTTGAGTTAGTAATAGTGTAGCTCACAGTTTAGTTGCCATTAGGATCATAGGGAGAAACGACTGAACTTACAACTGCTTCATTCTACTCACTGGGAAAAAAAAACAACCCTCCCTTTAGACTGGGATGTGGTCAGTCACAGGCAGAACGGGCTCAGCTAAGTGTGGTCTTTCAATTAATCACCAGAAAAACCTGTCCATAAGTAAAAGTGTTTCCAAGTATCACAAAAACAAGAAGCAGGCTCAAAAAAATAAAAAGGCCTCCCCTTCCCCCAACTTGTTAAGTTTACATTTTAAATGTAACGCAGCCTGGACACTTGAAAACCATACAGAGAGATGCCAAATACCATTACAGAGAGAAAGTAGGACAGCCTGTGAATGAGGTGTTCCATTTTAGTGACAAAAATGATGAGATCACTTTCGACAGCACTCTACAAATTGATCTCACTGCAGTTCTTCTGGCACTGAACATTGGCTTTTCCATTGATGATAAAAGCTCAGCTTTAAACACAGATCCATATTCTAAGTACTGCTAAAGAAAATAATATTTTAATTCCTGTTAGGGTTTCCATTAGCCTGAATTACTGGGGACAGAATACTTGCACTGGCAAATGCCTGGGACCTGATTTTCATTTCACCTGCTTTGGCACTAACAACAGGCCTTAAAGGTGCAAATCACACTTGTGCTAGAGCAAAAATAGTTCTGGGCATAAGTAAGGCTCAAATTCATCTGCATTTAACTTAATAGCACTCCTACTGACTTCAAAGACTGCAGTTACTAGTGTCTGCAGCAAGAAGCAATCCTTCAGGGATATTTATTTTTCCAACATTCAGTACCTTTAATAAACTAATATATTAGTGACATCTCTCAAACACTATCTTGTCTCACAATTAGGTCCCTTTCCTGCCAAGAAGACCCCTGCTGTATGTTCATTGTGAGTGTGCTAACAGTTCATAATGCTGAATGGTTTGGGATAAATTAAGCAAATGAATACTCAAGGAAAAAGAAAAGCACTATATTGATTTGTTGTCTAGACATAAATGTATCTGCTAACATATTGCAGACATTATTCAAAGCCAGTACTGGCTGGAATAAGTCAAGTCAGTTTTTCTGCTAGGGAAAGGAAAGCACCGAGAACAATATAGCTTATTAAATAAGTGCAATAAATTAGATGCTAATAATTAAACTAATACTCATTAACACTTTCAATCGTATGTATGTCAGGAGAGAAACAGTCATTTTGCCAGTTATTACTTCATTGGCTGGAAAAAGTTACATGCATTACATTTCATGAAATATTCAGCGCATTATTCTAGATTTGATTTACATAAAATTTATCAATTCTGTATTTGACTGGAATGCTATTGCAATAATAGCAAGATGATTCACTTTATTTGATTAAAAAAAATGAAAATGGTTATTTGAAGCTTTGGAACTCTGCTTAATTTTTCATAGAGATAAGGGGAAAAGATAACTTCTTACAGAAATAACAAACCGTAATAAACTGTACTTTTAACATCTTGAGTTCAAGTACTGGTCAACTTGATCTAAAGTGCTATAAGGCAGTATTTTTTTTTTTTAATGAACTTAGCTGATCTGAAACATCTGTTTCTCACCCTCCCTTTTCCTGCTCCTTCCCCCCCACTCTCCCCTGGACTTCAAAAATAATGAATAAAAATTATTCTGCCTTCATATTTTGTTAACCCTGGTTCCACCAGGGTTACAACGCATGCAGCAAAGTCATTTGTGGAGGGACCCAAAAGGTCACTCTATCACCAACTTCTCTGATGGTTTAACTTTATTTCACCACAGTGTGGTCGAGTGGGTTTTTTGGGGAGGTTTTTGGTTGTTTTTATGAAATATTTTTGCAGTAGCAGCACTTTTTTCCCATTTCCAACAGCTATTCAAGGTGTGTTCCTGTATGCAACATGCTGTTAAAATAACCCCAGCAGCCCATGGTTAATTTTACATAGGACAAACACTTCTGAAGAAATAAAAACGGCTTCCTTACATTTAGGAACCCCACCTGTCCAGCCTGCTGACCAGCGTCGGGGCAGACAAGTTGGACAAACTCTTTCAGAGTCTCCTGAGGATGATAGCGGATTGCTGGGTGTGAGAAGTATGGCCCAGGCTGTTGAATAATGGGTGATGTTGGAAAATGAAGAGTCGATGGTGTTGCATGTGGACTTGCTATAGGAAAGAAAACAAAGAAGTTATATAGAGTTTTGCCTTTGGAAAATAAAACAGTTTAAATCTACTGTAGTTTTAGTCTTTTTTTAAATGTACAGTATTGTTTATACATCTGATCTTCACAATTAATATATTAGACCACATTGTGTCCTACACTCACTTCATCTAGATCCTGAAAGCAAACGGAGCCAGACATTTTGAAGGATTTTCTGTGTTTTTAGTGGACATGTATAAAGGAATGAGCAGTCCTTCGTGACAGTGAAAACTCTTCATCACCTTAAGAGCAGTCTTCATCAATCAGGCAATAAGAATATGTATTTGGGAGATGATGGTTGATTTAAGTGACATTTCATATAACTTGGATTTGCACATATGAATCCATTTTATATTGTACTATAAATGGTTGGTAATTTAAAGATGGTCTAACACTTCCTGTTGTTGGGGGTTTTTTTTCCACCTCATTTTAGGAACATTTATTTTAAGTAACATGTTTTCATCTAATGAACATGCACAAAGTGGCAAGATGGTTCTGAAAATTCCATTTACATTTCTCCTGAATAACGTTGGGTTCCAATCTTCAGCAAGCCCCCAGCTTGCATTTATGGATGAAGTTTAATTTGGTGAAGTTATGGGCCAACAAGCCAGCTAGAAAATGTACTACAGTGAAGGTGTTAAGGTGCAATGTACACAAGCCAATTGTCAATGACAAGTTTTACCCTCAACAGAACTATAAGTGCAGTTGAAGAGCCTTACGCTCTCCTATGTTACAGACACCTTTTCCCAGTTCCTTGGCCTTGAGGATATACTGGGTTGGACCCTTGCTAGCCAACAATGCTTTCCACTGTTAATTGTCACCATGAGGGAGCAACCGCTGCCATTCATAGTGCTAAGAATTCTCTCTTTCCCCTCTAAAATAAGAATTCACTCTTCCTTTAGAATGGCCAATTGATCTGGTTGTGCACAAGCTCACCTGTAAACCAGTTTATTCCTCACCAGTCATCACTGCATCCCTGTTGCTCCCTTGGCATGCTATCCTAGTGATCTTTCAAGGGTGTCCATGTGCATATTGTGCACTTGTACACCACACATAACCACTTAGATAAAGGCTGTGTAAGGGAGGTAATATCCTACAGAGACTCATGTGTTGGCTTTGAAATAAGTTAAATATACAGGAGGGGAAAAAAAGCCTTTGGCACTTTTCAAAAGAATTGGAGAGATGCAGGGAATAAACTAAAATCAAACACAAATGAGCAAACACCCATTTAATGACAATGTTATGAAAAACCCCAAGTTAAACAAAAGCTAAAATCTGCTTCTTAGTTTTGTTCATCACCAGTTTTATAACATGAGACTTATCAATATTTTTTCTTAAGGATTATTAAACCATCAGCAAAATCAGAGCCTGAAGATGTGGATAAAACACGTACTCAGAGACAGCAGCAAGCAAGGAATCCTACTGCATTATCCTGTAAACATTCAGTAAGGGTTGGCTGGGCAGCACTTCTATGTACTTCCTGCACCACGACTGGATAGGAATGATTGCTGTGACACCACCAAATAGAGCTGCACTCATGCCTGGGGTGCTGATATGGGATGAATATGAAGCTCTCGTCCTTTGCCGTGAAAAGCTCCCCTGCATCCTTGTTTATCCTACAAGTCTTCCCTTAATGCTGCTTGAAATATTCACAACAGAAAGAGAAATGCTACTAAACGTGTGGTACTAAACAGGAAACCACCACGGAAAGAAAGCATGGAGATGAGGAACTAAAAGGCAGCATGCAGCCTTCAACTGCCTCTGATTAAAGCAGATGTCTATCCAGAGACACTCTTTGAAAAGCATGGGCTACACCTATCTTACAACAGCTAGATATTGTGGCATGTGGGCTGAACTGGAAAACAGTGTCTTCCCACAGCCATGCTGCAGTGCTGCACTTGGGAAAAGGGAACAAGAAGCAGCATATCCCACACTCCTTGTTATGGAAATGTTGACAGTTATTCCATGGCCAAGGAAAACACCTGTGTACCAAGCCTGTTCAACCTGTCTGCACATCTGGGCTTACCTCTTTGTTTTTTTACAAGCCTAGTTAATTATTTCTTGTTCACTTTTAAGACAAATAGTTTTGTTCTGAGTTTGCATCTTAAATTGTAGCATATTTGAAAACTCTACAGATAAAAACCCCAAATCTTCAAAGGAAGAAATAAAGGGCATTTTCCTGTCCCCAAACTCCTGGGAGAGGCTGTAACTTTGAAGTGTGGTATCAAAGGTAGAGATAATGTGGGATTCACCTCAGCAAATGTGGGTGTGTGCCATGGAACTAATTGTCTCAGAATCAATGGAGAACTACATAGAACTAATGGTGTCTAAGGAGCTGTTCATCTCACCCCAAACCAGACCACTGCCCTTGACTAGACTTCATTGACCACGCTGACTGGCTCAACAGTGGATGCGAAGGGAGCCCACCAGTACTAGCTCCAAGGTAGATACCTCCAGTCTAGACTCACCTTCAGTTAGGTGAATTCCACTCAACATGCCAGCCTCTCATCTCCCTTACACCAACCCCTGAGGTGTAACTGCTTTAATGACACTTACGTCATTGCCATTTTACAGGTATGAATGTATCATCATCATCTCCAGGAAGCAACAGTCACTCAAGAGCTTGTCAAAATATTTTGCCACAAACATTGGTTCACCTCAAGTTGGTGGTAAGCATTTTGATGACTACAATAAAATCTTCATTAGCATACAACATTTCTGTCCTTTTTTGATATAACACATAGTCTCCCTCTCTCTCTTTGTATCTCCTTTTATATTTTCCCTTTTCCCTGTATGCCAAAAGGAAGATGAGGGATGAAGATAAAAGTGAGAAATGAAAATTTATGTGGCAAACATCTAATTAAGTAAAATACAGCTTGGGATTCTTAAAACATTTATGAAAAAAAGATGCATTTAAACACCAGCTCTGTTAATACTATTTGAAACAGTTACACAACTGCACTGTCCGTTACACACATCTGGGAACAAATTCATTCCTTTTCTTCCGCTGGGTGAAAAGGAGCTAGAAATGCTATTTCCATCAAACAAAAAGGAATAAAAAATTGTACCCATGTGGAAAGTTAAAGCTAGGTCTGCGAGCACACTATATTTAGCTTTTCCAAGGTATGGTTCTTCGTTTAATAATCTGATTTGCTATATGAAAGACATGTTACGTCTTTTAGGAATACTCATAAGCATGTAAGTAGCATCTTTCTCTGTTGCCTTGACCTCCTCAGCACGTCAGGGTAGAAAACAAAGTGGGAAGCATTTGTTGGTGATCTTCCCAAAGAGAGAGGGAAGAAAAATGAATGCAGAAATAGCAACAGTAATTCAGGAAGGGAAAGTGCCCCAAGAAAGTGGTTCCTCTTCAGAGTCTTGGCGAACCGCTCAGCACAGCCTCGGAGGGCTTTCTGCTGATCATGGGAAAGACTGGGGGAAAGAAACCAGACTGAACAGACATCAGTCCTCAAGTCTGTGTCATATACTGACACACAGGGTTCATTTTCTCAGAGTAGATGGATTAGCATAAGAAATAATGAGTGGAATAAGGATTTTCAAAAGGTTTGTTTTTGCAGTCTCTGACTGGGAAATACCGAATTTCTCAAGTGGCAAAAGGAAGGGCTGTTTTATAAGCAGAAGAATCTACTACTATTAAACTGATCAACAAACGTTACAACTGTGCCTGGCTTATACTATAGAGAAGAGATGAAAATGTGATAGCTGTGTTATGGTCACCAACTCCGGTGCATGCAAAAATGGCCTTTCAAACAGGTTCTGAGTACAGAGCACAACTGTGTGTCTAAATATATGGATCCTCACAAACACTTATTAATCAATTAAAAGACATGAGGTAGTGGAGCAATTGCTATTTTCCCTGTTTGCCTCTAAAAGGGGCAAGTGGCCATGGCCAAGCTCCTTCAGCCATGACATTTAGAAACACTTCACAAAAATTATAAAGTCATTGCTTCCGAAAACCGTGCCCGGAGTGATGCAAATTTTCCTGTGTCTAAGAAGGAGCTATTACTACTTAGGTGCTTCCGATGGCATATTAGGAATCTCAATCAGTGACTGTAAATTCTTTGAGATCTTCAAATGGAAGATAAAATAGGTCTCTGTCTATTATTTATTTACTTATTGACTTATTATTTATGTATCCCTAAGCAGCTCCATGCTGCCAAACCGTATTTCTCTTGGCGTCTTTCAGCCTGTGACATTTATATTTTATTATTGACCTCACTAAATAACATAAAATATAAGTCCTACAACCTATGAAAATATGTGGATTCCACATCAGAACTTCATTTCTACCTGCTTTAGGTATGGGGGAGTTGGACTATCTGGCATTATTACATCTGTTATTTGGGGGGGGGGGGGGGGGGGGGCGGGGAGGAGAGAGAGGTATTTTTTTTGAACCAGAAAAGCCCAAATCTCAAGGCAAGCATAAATATTTCAAAGCACACATGATTCTAATTCCATTGAAGCTCATCTGAAACATCCCAGACTTTTTATTGAAAATGAGATGATAATGTATGGTGGCCTGCAACAGATACACCAGTATTTTAAAACTACTGCTATTGGGCCAAATAATTATGCAGTACAGCTGTCGGTGCTACACTGGATTCTTTAGTGGTTTATGAGTTCGTGGTGCTGTGCAGCACAGAAGTAAGAGGATTTTTCACAATGCTGAATTCAAATGTCTCATTATGCTGGCCTGTCTTGTCTTTTCCCTTCTTGATTTGTAATAGCCAATAACAAACTAAGTAACCAATAAAATGGGTTGCATTCATTGATTAGGTTAGCACTTCACGTGTCTGAGGCAAATGAAGACGAGCCAATATTGTGGATTCTATTCAATAGGATGATGAGATAATAAAGAATCAGTTAATTTGGAACAGGTTATAGTTTTCTTCAGATATTTAGTACCCTTCTGAGGCCCTTCTGCTTGAACAAAAGAGCAGTCCTAATA